GTTGACATGAAATGAAAAAAATAACCCCCCCCCCCCCTTTTTTTTTTTTTTTAAGTTTTCTTCCTGCAGGTCCTTTTAAAATCTAATCTTTAAAAGGAAGAAAATGATGGTGGTCTGAAATCTGGTATTTACCCTCTTCCTTGTTAAGGAGGGTGGAAGGATTGCTTGGTGGATACCAAAACCAGTCTTGAAGATCATCTCAGATCACTAACGTTACAGTTGGTTACGTTAGGAGGTTGACGCTTCGTTTCCTCAAATTGTGGCAAGTTCTAAAATTACTTTGAGGACACTTAACTTTAGGCCAGCTGTTGTCTTTGTCTCTTTGTGAATAAGAGCAGAGATTTGAGTAAGCGTGTGGGCTTTTTTTTCCAAAGAACCTAAGGTCTGGACACCAATACTCATGAAGCCTAGTGAAGGCTGTATAGTCAAATCCTGTAGCTGGCTCTAAAATAATCTGTTTTCTTCTGTCCAATATGAGTGGTGCTTCAGTGGTTCTGTGGTCTTACTGGCATACTGTAGGTTTTTGTGTGACACCATGTGCTCTGGAACAAGTGACACTGCTTCTCTCCTGTTGTTCTTTTGCCTCTTTTCAGGCTTAGGTAAATGCACTTTTAATTGCGAAATACAGCATTCTGACAACTACTGTATTTGTCAGAGTGCAGCAGAACAGCTGTTTATTGATGACTAGAACAAATTTAATACAGTAAACTTCGGCAAAAGCAGCAATGTGCTGAGCAGCTGCTCACTGCTACAGATCACAGGTTTGAGAGGTGATTGTATGATCGTATGTAGCTCAGAGGTGAAACCTTGAAGTATGACACATGACACATCTCTAGGGATTAACATGAAAGATCACTTACAGCTAGATAGATGGGCATTCAGATGGTCAAATTTTCACTCTAACTATGCAAATCTTTAAGATGGATTAAAACTTATTAAAGACCAAGAGGGAAGGTGTATTCTTGAGAATGCTGTGAAGGAAGATACAAACTGATAAACAAAGAAACAGAAAAAATAGACTTACTAGGATCTTCATTTGAAACTGTGCTTTGGAAGTAGCAAACCAAGAAATAGGTATGCCAACAGAACTAGTTCTTTTTGTTTAAATTCCAAGACTTCAGACTATACTTGTTTCATGTTTCCACAATATGGTCCCAGTGGCTGGAAAATGACAGCTGAGCTGCAAGAAGTTGAAGTAAATGCAAAAAAAGTATTGAAGTAAATGTAACAAAAATCCTCAGAGTACGGAAATGATAGAAGGAAGTCACAGTCATCCCTGTGGCTAGGAGCAGAAGGGTCATGAGTCCCTTTTCTGCAAGGTTACACAAGAATAAGCCTGTCCTTTTTAGAAAGCCTCAGGACAATTATCTGTCCCAGTGTATTCCACAGTGATTTTATATATAATTTTTTTTCTCACAAGACTAGAAATTGTAACTGGATTTGGAGTTACCACTGGAGTTTATGCTTTACCAGTGAATTGGATCTAGGATTTTTAGGATGGAAATAAACCTGTGACTTCTCTGAGGCTGCACTGATTCTGTCCTGGGTGGTCCCCTCGTCTTTTTTTGAAGCTCACTGGTTTGCTTTTTGCAGCATTGGCAGAAGGAGAAATTGACTAGTGAAAATAACAGGTTGGAATTAAACAAAAGCTGGTCAGAGACCTGACTAGTATGATGCATTTTATTTACAGAAATCTCTGGTTACGGGAGGATGGGGCACTCCTGGTGGACCATTCAGAATATATACCGCTGCAGCAGCATGATGCGTGCGGGCACACCAGCTGCAGGCAGGGCTCTTGGCCTCTGTATGCAGTCCCTAAAATTAGGCGCAGTGTGCAAGCACGTTCTGAAAGCACTGCACGTCTGCTTCTTGAAGGGCACTGAAATGCAAGTTTGAGACGTAAGGGAGCGTGGCTGCTGAGTGACTAGTCCTGGCTTTGTCCCCTGCAATTCCTTTAGGTGTTTCCCTCCTCCACTGGGAGTCACTGGCCACGAGCACAGGCTGTCAAGCTCAGGTAGATTGAGGAGGAGGAGTTGGTTTTCCCAGACTCTTGAATCCCTGGTGTCAGAAGCAGTTTTGGTTTTCCTGGCTGCAGCATCAATAACAAAGCATCATCCTTCAGTTTGATAACCAGCTGATTTCAGGACTACTGCAGACCCCCGTTTCAGTGTATCCCATACTCTAGTGATTTTTGTTCTGGCAAAAGCGTCTGGAGAGGGTGTGTGCAAAGAGCTTTGAACCCCTCTATCACTATGAGGAGAGGTTCTTGGGTAAACCAGTCCATCAGACTGAATATGATTTCTCAGGCTTTGCATCCTAGAAGAGAAATTCTTACCCTGGAGGTGAAAATGGTTGGAAATGCAGAACAAAACCTCATTGGAGGTGGTTTGGGGTTTTTTTTCAAATAAATAGAGTTTGTCAAAATCCTAATAGATTTTCTCAGAACTGTTTTTCTACAAACAGTTTCTTGTTGTTTAGTTTGGGCCCAAAGAAGGCCTTTCTGAAAGAAGTGGACAAGCTTTCAAGCAATCTGTGTTGGCATAATAAGTATCACAAAAAACTGAGGCTCTTGGTCCACAGTGATTTCTTGCAGTCTTTTCTAATTCTATTTAAAATGCAGGAAGACTTTTAAATGGATGAATTGAAACATCCAGATTTGGTGGGGCAAATTTCTGCCTTTGCACTGCTGTTATCTTGGGCAAAGTAGCATAAAGCGGTGCATTGGTTCTGCTGTCTGCCAGCCTGGTTCTGCAGAAACGGAGCAGGTGTACAGCAGGGAACGTTACCCAGCCTTGTCGGCATACTGGGAATGGGAGCAAGTGTTGGGCGTGGGTAGAAAAATCACATGCTCTTTTTAGCCAGTGTACCACATTGCTCATATATGGCGTATGAAATGCAGTGCTTTGAGAGTAGAAAAGGGGTATATGTTTCTCTTACTCCTTCTCATGGTCAAAAAGTCAAGAGAAGTGTCTAGGCAATGGCTTCAAAATTATCCCTGTCATTCAGGCCGCGTAGCACTGGGTCAAGAGCTGAATGGGAGCCAGCATGTTACACTGAGCTGTATGAACATGTAGCCATTACAGCAACAGAATAAATAAGCTTACAATTATTATGAGGGGGGACACATCCTTCTTGGAATATAATCCATTTGTAGAGTGCTGAGAGAAGAAACGTTCCTTATGATGGCTATTCTATAACTACACACAGGTGCGTAATGTCTGCATCTCACATCTGGAAGCCTGATCAGACCACAAGTCCCCTTAGGATGGTAGACTTATGCCCAGTTCTCTCCATAAAACCCTTGTCCCCCAGCTGTAGCAAATTCTGCTCACTGGTGCATAATGTTCATAGTCATCTTATTCATGTGTTGTCCAACAGGTACACCCAGACTACAAGGAAACAGAAATCCCTGTGGTAAGTTCCCAAATACCTGTGTGCTTACACTGGTAACTTTTCGTGTTTCTGAAAATCTCCGGAAGTAGTGTTCCTTTGAGTACAAAAAATCATAGGTGGCAAGTAAACTTGGGGTGAAGGAAGCAATTTCTATGCTTCCTCTGAGGTACAGGGTTTGGCTGTATCATAAGGACCTTCACTGTTGAAAAGGTTTTGGTCCCACCGGTAGGAGAGGGTATATTGCAAAGAATCTGGGATGTTGATTGTTGTTTTGAGGGTAAAAATAGTATGGTGGGAGTCAGATTATGTGCACTGCTTGGTTTCATCCTAACAGTGAGTAACTTCCTAAGGGCAGTCTGGAAAGCCTCTCGGATTAATTACATGGGGTATCCTGGTTCTGCGCTAGCCAGAAGCAGGATGTGGGGATGCAGAAGATGACCATCACCTCAGCCTCTGGGTTTTCCCCTTTAGGTAACGCACCAAAATTTCCCAGTGTCTAAAGTGCCCAATAACACCAGCTGCACAAAGCAGTCGGGTGGCCCCGCTCCTGAACTACAGCAGGTCCTCTCTGCTAGTGAGAGGCAGTGCGTAGAGACAGTCGTCAACATGGGGTACTCACCCGAGAACGTCCTGAAAGCCATGAAGAAGAAGGGACAGAATATAGACCAGGTAAGAGCTTGTGCAACAGGAAAGAAACCCTTGATTGGATGCTGATTCTGCTGAGAAACAAGCTTGGGTTTGCAAAATGGATTGGGGGGGAGGAGTACTTTTATTCTAATGGAGGGTTGTAGCCTGTAGCCACTGCGATATTAACCGCTAGAGAAGTTGTCACCTGGCAGTAAAGGCAGCCGGAACCGAAGAAAAGGGTCTCTGTGGATGTTTCTGATGAGAGACTGCTTGAGTCAGCCACACCTCTGGGCACTGGGTCAGAGCTGCACTGAGCTTGGGATGGGCCCTTAGCTCCATGTGAAGCTGGGAGGGGTACTGGGTCTTCCCAGGAGCCACAAAACTATCTGAAGAAAGCTTAGCGTGGCTCTATGCCATGCTTAGTGCTGTGTGACAAAAAAGCAGCCAACGTCCCTTGTTCTGAGCACAAAGGGTTGCAGTGCTGACCTCTCTCCTTGTAGAGAGATTGGCCCCTGCAGACTTAAGACAGCCCTGAAAGGCTCTCGCAAGGCACCACTGACCGACTTTCTTCTGTGTGCTCTGGTTGCCGTGCTTCCTGCCTCCTGTGTTGCCTCAAACACTTGCTAAAACCAGGTCACATAGCACAGAGCGCTGCAGGGTGAAGCGTGGCTCTGGGTCTTGGATCTACTTCAAACAAACATTTTAAAGTGGGGAGAGCGTGGCCAAACTTTCCATGCTGACCCTAGGCAGGCCGTATGCTGCACAGAGCATCATCTGGTGGAACTGTGCTTGGGGAGGAGGAGTGTCCCAGTGACTTCTGCTTGTGGAGCTGATCTGCTTGCCCACTACCTACGCATCGAGAACCGTTTAAGCTGTGTGCTGGAGTGTACTGTAGTATCAAATGGAAAAAAAGGCCCTTAGGAGGGCAGTTTTAAATCCTGCTGTATTTGCAGGCTGTGTTCTTTCGCCTTCCTAGCATTACCTATCTGACCTTTCCCCATACCTCTCAAAGCTGAGGACAGATAAGAAATTTGGCAGCGGTTTCTGTATGCTGAGTTGATCTTAAAAGGCTGACTGCTTTCAGATTGCATCAGCTCTTGTGGCTGTCTGAGGAAGCTAAAAGCTGACGCATCTTGACTGCTGGACCTGTGGTTTCATTTTAAAAACTTGTAGTATAAAAAGCACAGTTAAACCTCTGTTTTCTGCTCAGTGATCAGGCACGGAAGGCTAAAGATAGGCTTCTGAGACTGTTTTGACTAGAGTGGAAGATGATGTTCAGAGCTGGTGGGAGAGCGCAGGAGGAGAAGGGCTCGTCTGTTTTCTCGGAACAAGCTCTTGCATAAAGAGCGTCTCAGCTCTACTAGGAAGGACTTTATCTCAGTCCCTGGTGAAGCCTGGGGTAGAGTCGTGCTCAGCCCTTCTGTGTGTACGGAGATGGTACTCAACCGCGCGCTGCGAATGCCGCTCTGCAAACTTAGCTGCTTTTCTTCATTCCCCACAGGTTTTGGATTACCTGTTTGCACATGGACAGCTTTGTGAGAAGGGCTTTGATCCACTTCTTGTTGAAGCAGCTTTGGAAATGCACCAGTGTTCAGAGGAGAAGGTGAGGGCACAAAGTGCTAAGCAATGGAGAGAATGTGCCGTGATGGGGAATTGTAGCAGCAGTTCCTCTGGCTGATTTAATTCTGGCTTTTGTGGTAATGCTGCCTTGTTTCCAAAAACTGACTGCCAAAGGACATCTTTGCCGTGATAAAGCAAATATGTGTTAAAGCATTAGAATTCTTCTGTGTTGTTTTATTACTCTCACTTGCACGCATTTTTATGGGGAAAGGATTTTTTTAAAGACCCTGCTTATTCTGGTTGTAATGTTTTGAACCCGGAGTTTTCTTGTGGGCGAGGTGTTTGGTACAGAGACAGTTAACTTCAGAAGCAACAAATTATCTTTCAAATCCTGCCAGCCTGCCCTGGCCATGATTTTTCTCCCTTGTACAAAGACATCTGCCTGGCTGCTCAGGAAATTGGGTTAGGGCTCGCTCTGGAAGAAGCTGGAAAATACAGGGTTTGGGGTCTGGTTCACCGTCTGGCTGCTTGACCAGCACCGAAGGTACAGAGGCAGGAGCAGGTAGCCAGGGCAGAGGACAGCAGGATCTTTTAAAGTCTGCCAGCCTGTTGTGTCCCAGGTTGTTATATGAAATCTTTAGAGGTGCAACCCAACCCCCCCCAGATACGTATATGCCTTCCTGCCTTTCTTGGACTTAGTGGTGAGCTTGCAAACAGAGGAACAACAGCGTGAAGATGGGAGAAGTGACTGAGTTCAGGAAACGCATTTCCTACTGGCTTAACCCCAAAATTGGAAATGGCTAATGTCCTGATCGTCCATTTCAACCTGCTTGTTTGTTTTTGGGTTTTTCCTTCCTCTGGAGTGGAGCAGAGGCCCTGTAGATGGCAGAGGGTTCATAAAAGTCTGATCAGCTGATTCACTTCTTGTCACTTTATTTTTCAAAACTCGGGGAGGATTCGTGGTTGATGTTGGTAGTATCGTACACAGTGTGTCCAATAGGATTTGTGCTAATCTTCCAAGTTTGCCCCAGATCAGAAGAGCCATTTGATAGCAAGGACTACTGTACTGTTCCCAAAGTTGAAGTAACTTTACAAAAATTCAGATGCAGCAGGAGCTTCTGGATGGGGGAGCAGGGTGCCATTAATCAGCATTTTTGGGAGCCCAAATTGGGCCAGGCTGCTAAATTTCCTACTGGGAAAGACACCCCCGCGGACTGAGCTTTGGTGCCCTTGCTGAAGAGGATTTTGGAAGTGCAGGACTGCAAACACAAGGGCCTGAAGCTGGGGCTCCGTGGGCTACTGCACCCAGAGCTCTGCCGGCTCGGGTGTGAGTGGACTGTCTCCGAACAGAGCTGGATCGGGCTGTACTTGGGGAGGAGGAACCCACCCCATGGGGTGCCCAGTCACTGAAGACTGGCTCTGTGCTAAACCTCCACCAAGCACTGATCCTCTTTTCTCTTGCAAATAATGGACTGTCTGTGTCTTTCAGATCACAGAACTTCTCCAACTAATGAGTCAATTTAAAGAAATGGGCTTTGAACTAAAAGACATTAAGGAGGTCTTATTATTACATAACAACGACCAACACAATGCTTTGGAAGATCTAATGGCCCGTGCAGGAGCCAGCTGAAAACACATTCCTGGATTCTCGGCGTGCAACGGAGCAGGACCAGCCCCGCCACCTTTGCATCCAGTGTGACTTGCTCTCGGCAGGAAGGAGTCCGGCTTTTCGCATACATGGGAGAGTGACTGAGCAAGCCCACCCGCGTGCATCACTCCAGCGTTTCTCTTTCCACTGAGAGCCAACTTTCTTTCTTAAATTAAATTTTTAAAGTGTCCTTTCCTAAGTTTCCTTTTTCCAGCTTGGCCAGAGAGTTTAGACTGCTCAACTCTACTGGAATTGTACGTAGGTAGAGACAGGAGTGGTTTCCCCCCCTCCCTGTTGCACTGGAGTTGGACAGAAGAATACTAAGTTGGTTCTGAAACTAGGATGCTTTGGTTCTTTGAAGCTGCTTTCATGGTGTCTGCTTGTACTGAATTACTTGACTGTGTCACAGTCCAGATTAACTGGTTAAATTTGACCTTTAGTGCAATGGAGTTTTATTTTTTGGTTGAAAGTTAGTCTGTAACTTAGTAAAACACTGGTTCAGAAACTGTCGCTATGCATAAAGAGAGAAGCTGTTCCTCCTGTGGGTTTTTTTTTTACCCGTGCATCCAACATTTCTGCAAGACATGAGCGTCCAATGCCAAGTGGTCTGTAAGCTCTCTTGAAACAGGTAAGCTGTGAACTCTACCTGGACCTGCAGCTTGTGTTGGTTCTTGAACCTGAAGGCAGAGAGCTGGGGCTCAGTATTCTTAATCCCCCAGGCTTGTAGGATATTTAAGACAATGCCCTGCTAGGAGATCAGTTATCTCTTTTGTTTTAAATAATACTCAGTGTGATGCAGGAGGTTTCTTTCAAGCACTTTCTTTAAAACAAATATACTCACTGCATTAGTTCCATTTCTCACACTGCTATAGAATTACATAATAACACCTAGTACTAGAAATCAGGTTTTGGGTTGGTTTTGATAGCTCAAAGTATTACGTTGTACATTGTTCAAGTTCTAAATACATAAAATATCAGCAGTCTTGAGGAATCTTTAATTTGCTAAATATTTTGATTCTGCAGAAGAACAACTAATAAAACCCTCAAATATAACTCCCAGTGTCATGGTTCCCATCTCTCATGCTCTTTGGCTTCAGTGGATGAAGAACGTGCTGGATCCTGCCCGCCCAGGTGCTGCCTGCTCCTGTAGGCACACACAAACACTGTCTGTTGGGCAGAACGGCCGGAGGTCTCTGGGCAGACGGCTGCAGTGGTGGAACAGGCTGCTTTTTTCTGTGGTTTATTTTTGTTCTGTTGCAAAAACCAAGCCTAGGGATCCAAACTCATGTTGGAGCATGGAGCCGGGAGCACTGGACTTCAGGAGGGGAAAACGGCTCAGCTCGTTGCCTCAGTTGAAGCTTTTCAGTAGGAGGTTTTAGCTCATCAGGAACCCTGAAGGAGAGGGCATTTGTCTCCGTTATGTTGTTAACTTTATATGACCAAAATGTCTAATTTGGGTCCAGTGTTAACTCCTGGAATTTGCTGTGAGGTGCTCAACTGTGTTAATTACATACCTTTACTTAAAACAAAATGATGCTGAGGAGAGATGTAGCTGGCAAGTATCTAGGAGATGTGGAGATGGATGATGAGCAGGACCAGGGCAGATTGCCTGGTATCGTATCCCGTAGTATTGAGCTTCACCAGCTTCTGGTGGGGGGTGCTGAAGTTAAAACTTGTCTAAGGATATACCTGCTGACCCACCAGCGGCTGAAAAGCGTTTGCCCAGCTTTCCTTCCCAGGTGAGAAATGTAACAGTTTGAAACAAGGAAATGGGGCTCCTGATTAATCAGAAAAGCTGGTAAACAAAACTCAAGCTGCTTTACTGTCACTGCTGAGAGCGTTTGGTTGTGTTGCTTGTTTTGGTTTTCTCAGAATATCCAAACAAGTCCCTGTCTGGTACTAGACAGTCCTGAAGGGGCAAGAAGTCTTGCCAGCAAAGAAACAACTACTTAGACCAAAACTCTGAATAAAATCATCTCTTTGGTTGTGTTAATGTGTGTTAAGTTTTTTCACAGTTCCCCTGTGGGGGCTGGCTCTTAACCCCAGCTGACAACTAAGCACCACACAGCTGCTTGCTCACCCCCCGCAGTGGGATGGGGGAGAGAATCGGAAGGGTAAAAGTGAGAAAACTCGTGGGTTGAGATAAAGACAGTTTAATAGGTAAAGCAAAAGCCATGCACGCAAGCAAAACAAAACAAGGAATTCATTCACTGCTTCCCATCGGCAGGCAGGTGTTCAGCCATCTCCACGAAAGCAGGGCTCCATCACGCATAACGGTGACTCGGGCAGA